TTTTTTTTTTTTTTTTTTTTTTTTTTTTTGTCTTTTGTCTTTTTTCCGTGTCCGGCAACGGATCGCAACCCTCAGTGTTGCCCCCGCACCGGACCGGGGACTGGCAACGGGATTGCAAACCTCGGTGTTGCTCCCGCGCCTCGCTCAGCCAGTGAGCGGGAACCGGTCTGTATGTGGGATCCGAACCCTCAGACGGGAGCGCCGCCGTGCTTCCCAAGCGGCGCACTATCCAGTGCGCCACCGGGCCGGCCCAGGATTCTAGTTTTTATTGCTTGCCTCAGGGGAGAATGAAACTGAGAGACAGGGGGACAGGAGAAGGTCAGAGGAAAACTTTGCCTTTCAGGCTGCTTCTGAGGCCCTCACTTTGGCGTATCGCTTTTCTGAGCCTCAGTGCATCCATATAAAGGGATTATGCAACATAAACAAGAATTTTAAAGCAAATATCTGGTACTCAAAAATCCAGGTTAAGAAATAGAATATCATTAGTAACTTATTAGGCCCCATATCACACCCCAGTTCTGTCTCTCCCTCCACCCATCCACACTCCAAGAGATGAACCGTTATCCTACATTGTGTCTTAGTTGTTCTTTGTTTTTCTTTATGATTTTGACATCTAAATATGTACCCATAAATTGTACATTGTTTCATTTTGCCTTTTTTTACCTTCACATAAATAGAATCATGTTGTTTATGATTTTATAATTTTTTATTCAACCAGATGTTTTTGAGATTCATTCATGTAGATTTGTTACTCCAGTACCATTATTCTTTTTTTTTTTTTAACTGAAATACCTGGAGTTTAACACTACTATTATTTTTAATTGATAAATAAATAGTGACGTTGGTTTACTCAATTTATTGTGATAGACATCTGTGTTCTGTCTATTTGGGATCTGAGGTCAGTACTGCTGAGGACTTTCTTCTACGTTTCTTGGCATAGATGTGCACATATTTCTCTAGGATATATGTTAAAGGCACTTTCCAGAAAATGTACCTTCTGTAGCAGTTGATTTGTTACCGAACTCAGGTCCGTCTTCCCACTCTTCACGAAGGAAAGAAAAAGACTCAGAAGTGAAATGGTTGGTGATAGAAAAGCAGATATATTCAGCTGAAGGAGATGGTAGGCTATCTCATCTCAAAGATTTAGACTTACTGGGGTTTTTTTAAAGGAGGTGTTGAGGGAACAGAATGTGGGAGGTGAAAAGCAGGAGAGAAGGAGATGAGCTAGGAGGGGTCTGTGTCTATGAGTCAGGTACAAGGTCTCGCCAGGGCCTCATCTGGTTTCTGTTCTCATCTTCACTGTTATCTCAGGGCCCTGAAAGATTTTGATTTGCTCTGAAGTAAAATCAACTTTTTCGCAAAGTCTTTGGTGAAGTTTTGCTATGCAGAGTTCTGGTTCCCTTGGCTGGTGTCCAAAGTCAGCTTCCAGTCATTTGGCCTTGATCTCTTCTTAAAACTCTCAAAGTCTCAAAGAATTGTCATCTTTGCAAAATACTGATTAGCTTCTCAGCCTTGTTTTCCTATTTAGCAAGCAAGATAAGAAAGCCAGGGGGTGGGAAGAAATAGCAGAGAGAAGAAAAACTGTCCTTTGAAAAATATTCCTCCCCTCCCATTCCTGCAGCAGAC